GGCATTCTATGATTCTATGATCCTCTAAACAGCCCCAGCACTGTGTGGGCTAAAGGCTGTGACGGAGCCTGTCAACCACGCAAGGGAGGTTGAATGTGGTGGGATCAGGATCACACCAGGCTCCAGACTCTTGCCTGGACCCAGGGCAGAGGTTGCTTCTCTATTATATGCAGARATTGCATCTACCCTCCAACTTACTTGGCTCCTGGGCACCAATTTGATGCCTGCMGTTAAAGCTCTTGTCTTCTGGCACAGGGTGCCACCTCTGCCATCCCATAACCTGACCCAGCAGAGGCAGAGTGAGAAGAATGTGGCTGTATGTCTGTTAACCAGACTTCTGTCCCACTGGTTTGGCCAACAAAAAACAAGGGGGAAACCTCTCTCACACCACAGGGGAAACGGGAAAGAAGATAAAGACTGTGAATCAGAGTGTCCCTTGTGGAGCAGTTCCSCTTCCATCAGCTCAGCTGCAATTAGCCAAGCTGTTGGGAATACACTTGGTTTGTTCCCAAGCTGCAGGCTGCCAGAACTGCTGGCTCGTAATCTGCTTGAAAGCTCTTTTCCAGTGCTCGTGAGCATCAGCCTTCAGATTCTAGGATACAGCAGTATTTAAAACACATATACATAACTAACCATGTTGTAGACACCTGAATATGCTCTGATGTATATAATGGAGACTGCTGGTATGGTTGTCTAGGCAAACCTCCSTAGCTCGTGGGCAGCCTCTCTAGTTTTCTTACTGGTTTCCAAACAAAGGGAATTTCAAGTGTTTTCTCCCCCATTCTGCCCCAGCCTAGATGGATTGAAGGAGTAAATTACTCCCTTAACTKACTATCCTATGGCTATGATGGTTTCTAATAAAGATTGTTTTTGTCCTTTTCAGTGTAAAACTTAAGTTTTTATATATGTATATATATGTATGTGAAGGAAAAGTTCTTACTCTTACAAGTAACAATACTTGTTACATATTACACTWGTTACAAAACAGTATTTCTTTCCTACTCCTACTTGTAAACAGGACTAAAAGACATATTAAATTTTAAAGTATATTTATACTTTAACATTACTGTAATTTCAAAGTAGTAGGAGGAAAGAAATATTGTTCTTTTTTTCTACAGGGATATATGAATGGTGAATTTTTTTATAGTACATTTTGTTTTAAAGGTGTCAATGCTGCAGTGGATGTGATTTATTTCCAACCTTTGCAAAGGAATGAACACTGATATTTTTGACATGCAAAAAAACCCACTTTTAATTATTTTTGTTTTCAGCTTAGTGAGCCTGAAGAGAATATTCTCTTCATTTAATTTCATTTATTTCAAGTTCAGAAGTTGGCTGGAAAATGTAAGGCTTTTTTTTCCAGTGTATGATGAAAAGTTATGTTGAGGGTGCAGCACGTGCRTTTTGTTCTGCTTGTTGTTTGGATGTTACATGTTTGGAAATGAACCTAGTGTGCTTCCTAGTGTCATTTAGGCAAAAGTTAGTTTCTTGGGACAGGGAAGATGTGCCTTTGAAGTAATCAATATTTAATAGAGGTTATACATATAAGATAGAGTACTTTAATGATTTTATTTTATTTATGACTGCCTGCATATCTAGCAAATATTTTTMATATTTTACGACCTGCTAATGACTGTAAGTTATCATCTCAACAATTGATGTATACGAGGGAAAAAAAAATAGTGACTTTTTTATTTTAAGAAAAATTGCATTAATTTCTTTACCAATATAAGCAGAGAGACTGTTTTTTTGTTTTTTTTATATAATGTTATGGGGTTTAATTAGCTTGTCAGATTAGTTGCAGTAAATGCCTATATTCTCATGAATTTCTTTTTTGCCTTATTTCAGTGACCGCTGTGGAGAAGACCCAAACCAGAAAGTAATCCATGGGGTTATTAACTCCTTTGTTCATGTTGAACAGTATAAGAAAAAGTTCCCCCTAAAGGTAGTTACACATTTCTGATTTATGATCTTAATTTTTTATGTTWATCTAGTGTCTGCATTATTTGTCCTTAAAATAAAATCTCCTTCTTAGTTTTATCAGGAAATTTTTGAGTGTCCTTTTCTGAATGAAACAGGGGAGTATTATAAACAAGAAGCTTCAAATTTATTGCAAGAGTCAAATTGCTCACAATACATGGAGAAGGTAAGAGATTCCTCTATATGCTTGGAGTAACTGAACATTGAAATATGAGGTTGCCACTTTTTCTTTGTTGAATACTTGCTTGCATTTTGAGATTTTTTTTTTGATGGCAAGGTTAATTTGAATAGAAACTATTAACTTTGCTCGTGGATATTAGCATTAAAATATATCACAATGGTAAATCAACATGCATTTGCAGTCAAACTTTTTTTTGGATTTATTTTGCTGTCTAAAAACAGGTTGATCAGTATGCTCCCTCATTTCCTTTTGTCTTTCTATTTACAATTTTGTATGTATAATAACGTAAGATGAGTTTAGTAGTGTAACGGTTAGAAAAGATACTRTTGTGGAGAGGCTACAGAGCATTTTTTCTTAATTATCTACTCTGAGAGTCTTTTGCTTTGTGTATGAAGCAAAGTTATGGCTAAGCTGCTTGGCTAGGTCATGTTACTTTTAACTGAGGTTAAAATATCTATGACTTGGTTGAAAAAGCAGAGATCAATATAGTGCTAGAAGTGAGTTCTAAGAGGTATGTTGTGACAAAAAAGGAAATAGAATAGTTGAAGTCTCCTAAATTGCTTTTTACCATCAAGAGTATAAGTTAATAGTTGCACACTTAAATGAAATTTGAAGACACTGAAGATTTCAATTAAACCAGAAGAAATGAGGATTCATCTCGCCTAATGTTRGCTGTCTGCAGCTGCACTGATCTCCAGGCTCCCCTCATATCATATCCCTTTAGGTTTTAGGTAGATTAAAAGATGAAGAAATGCGATGTCGGAAGTACCTSCATCCCAGTTCCTATGGCAAAGTGATTCACGAATGCCAACAGAGGATGGTAGCTGATCACTTGCAGTTTCTACATGCAGAATGTCACAATATTATCAGACAAGAGAAAAGAAGTGGTAAGTCTTGACAYGTTCCTGGGCATGACATGTTCCTGATTTTATCCATTTAGCATTAGAGCTTTACAACCTTTCAGTGACCTCCTATGTGCTTCAGCATTTTCAAGTAAAATGTTACATATCTGAAAAGCTCAYTTAAACCCTGAATGACATCTTTCTTTTACCACGTAATTACAATTTAACCAAAAATATCCTCCAAACTTTGTTTTGCTTTTTGCTCTAAAATGCTTCCTTCAGCCAATACTCTTTCATTTTCTTGGTCAACTTAAAAACAGACTGAAGTTGTATGTCCTGTAGAATTAATCGTACTTTCTTCTTGTGCTTTCATTTGTAAACCAATTGCTTTGTCTTTATAGATTTCATCGTTTGACAAGGCAGGATTATAAAATTATTTGRGTTTCTTCTCATAGCTGCTACTTATTGTCCAGGATCCTTTGAGACTTCTCAAATCATTTTCAAAGCAGCAAATACTTTTATAATTACACTCCTTGCATGCATTAAAAAAAATATACAGTACACACACATGTTTTTATATACTTCATGATGTCTACATGCGCCTTACCCTTGAAAGAATGTGTTTTCTTTCATGGAAGATGCTATCTATTATTGGAAACAAATTGATTGTAACAGTAAAATTCAGAATTTATCTAATAATAGTGTTCTTCCTCCCGAGTTTTGCAAAATTCATCAGAGCCTGGASCATTTTTTTGCATAAAAACCATAAAAATTGTAGTTGCCTAGACATTTACAGCTTTTCCAACCTGAGAAAGATATCCAGCATAGACCAGCAGAAAACAAAAAGCCAAGAAGATGATATCAGAACTGATCTGCTAGTCAGGTGCTGCTGAGCCTGAGAGGCAAATGGTTAAAAATAACCTGGCAGAACCCTTTTCCATGYCACACCACCTTCCCTTTTAGCCCCTATCCTAGATAGGCACTATTGGAAGAGGCACCAGATTAATTTTTCAGTGAATATTTACATTAGCCATACTCTTTACTTTTCTCTTTTGTCAGTGATCCAATGAATGTTGTAAGTTTTTTTCAAAGCAGTTGGTCTTGTTTCAGTCTTTGAAAAGTTCTGTGTGAAGTTGTGATGCTATATTAATGTTGATTTCTCAATGTTTCGAAGCATGTTCTATAAAAATGTATCTCTGTTACAGACATGGCAAATATGTATACTCTACTTCGTGCTGTGTCAAGTGGTTTACCTCATATGATTCAGGAACTACAAAACCATATCCATGATGAGGGCCTTAGAGCAACCAGCAATCTTTCTCAGGAAAATGTGAGTTTCCTTAGGCAGCTGAAATTGCCTATCTGATTAACATTCCTGATCAAATGTTTATCTTTGGCTTTTTTAGTCCAGTCTGTTTCTTTATCTTTGTCTGTATGAAACTGGTTTGGAACTTTATGGAGAAATTGTAGCTTCTGAACAGCAGTCTTCGCTGTGCAACACGTATCTGTCCTGAGAGGCGGTCGTTGCCATCTGACCAAGGCAGCAGCTCCAGTGATGTAGTTTGGTTGTTGGCTATTTCCATCATGGCAYGTTGGTCCCTGCCCTGCAGGAATTCTGCTTTTAAGATTTTTCTTAAGCTATTTGTAAGTTTAAGTCAGTGGCACTGGCTTTTTTGGTTCATTAGGAACCAGTGATCTTAAGTTAGTTTAATTATATTATTTGTAAAGGTCTGACATTATGTGCTGATTTTAGTGCGGTGTTTTTGACTAACAGCTTTGTAGTTTCATGTTTGCATGTGAATTCCTGAAAATACTACAACTATTTAATGTTTTTTCTTAATTATTCTACTAAAATGTTTTTGTTAATCTTTTTTGGATTCATGTTTGTTCAAATTAGGCATTTCCATTTTTGTTTTCTATCATTGCTGCTTTTTTTTGGTTGTTTTCTTTTTAAGGAGAGGTACCACTTGAAATTATATTTGAACACTTACACTTCACTTTAGGATGGTAACTTTTGCCATCCAGTTTTTAACTCTTAGAAGGTGTTTCTCAGTAAAAATGTGAGCTGCTACAAATGCGCCTTTCTGTTGACTGCCCGCTCCTGTGAAAATACTGCGAAGGGCTGAAGGGTGTAGCACGCTCGCGCTTTCAGATGGCTACCTTTGCTTAGCCTGTTCTTCAGGCTAATAACATCTCCACAGGGAGGGAGAGCACAGCCATGAGGGTGATTAAAATTTACAGCATTATGTGGATAACTCAAAATGTGTGTTAGTTTTCCTCAGTGTGTGGAGTYCTCTGGGCTGTTGCTGTGCACTGCAGACTTGCAGCCTGCGCAGGGGCCTGTGAGCCTGTCCCTTGTTTTACTCAAACAGGGGTAGTTCCTACACTACTTACACTGCAAGTTCCTACACTTAATTCACAGGCAGCATTAGAGCAATGTAGACTTCCAAATCTATACATTTTGTAGCTGGACCGTTACACCTGACAAAGAACATATTATTTTTGAGGCATGCCTAGGCACACTAGTATAACTTTGCAGAAGCAATCCTGTCCAAGACCTAATTAGTTGAGGTTTTAATTTTTATCGGAAAAAAAGAATTAGAAAAGTGTTTGTCTAATGTAGATAGAGTTATGTTTATGTTTAGATTATACTGTCTTGCTCAGTAACTTGCTTTCTATATCATCTACCTTTTTTAGATGCCAACTCAGTTTGTGGAGTCAGTTTTGGAAGTACATAGTAAATTTGTTCAGCTTATCAACACTGTTTTGAATGGTGATCAGCACTTCATGAGTGCCCTTGACAAGGTAACTTTTGCTAAAGAAATAAGAAAGAAGTTGAAAGTGCGTTAGACCTCATTTCCGGTTCAGCAGAATTCTCATGCAACTTTTATGTTTTCAAATGCAACAGAACAACAGAATCAGTTATCAAAAAAATGTGCAGATGAAACCACATTAATATTAAACATTTTGCAGAAAAGATCTTTTTCTTTGTCCAGGAATCAAAAACATAARGATGTATCTGACCCATTTAATGTAAATTTAAATGCAGACTAGGGAAATAGACTTACTGTGTTTACTGGAAAGTTTGACTAATCTTACATGGATTTAAACTTCAATTTAGACGCTGCAACAATACTTAAAGTCTAAATGTTGATAATGTTACTTACACAGCAGTTTTTTGTATTATTATTTTTTTTTTTTAAATTAACAGCGAGGGGTTTCTGGAAACTTCTATCGCTACTGTCATTGGTCACCATGACCAACTTTTTCCAGGAGAAAACTGCACTAGAAATGCAACAAGCCAGTTCAGGGAAGGAGGCTTGCGGCGTGTTTTTGTGATRGACAAAGCTGCTAAGGTTTTTAAATTAGCAGTGCTAGTTAATTTCTCATGATGATAATTTAATAATTTACTTCTGCATAATGTGCCTGGGCTCAGGTGGAATCGGRTGACTCCACCTGAAAGAAAAAGTACACTTTATCTAATTTATTTGTTGACTTTCCACTATTTTGTACATCTGTGTACCTTTTTTCCTTAAAAAGCGCATCTAAAATTTTCCTATCTGTATTTGCCTGGCATATTTAATCCATGCATATATTTCATTACCCTTTTGTGGTATGTACTGTAGTTTCAGGTTTTAGGGTGTTAGTCAAAGATTTAGATGAATTTCAGCARAAGTTAATATGGAAAGACACAGTGATGAAGATAATAAAATTGATAGGTGCTCTTCCTTTCTGTGATAATGAGAAAATATTTTTTTTTTAGTATTTTAATTTTTTTGTAGCAGTGCCTAATATACTTTTCAATTGTAAGTAATGTCATTTAGTAGAAGATGGAATAATATGAGATAAGCAACTATGTTGGCACATAGCACTGTTTTTTCTTTTAAATAATTCAGTTCTTTGCTCCAACCATCATTATTGCAATAAATATTTAATATCTTGGCCTGTTGTCATTTTTTCAGGGTCAAATCAAAATTGCTAGTGTTCTTACCGTAGTACTACAAGGGATTGTTTTAAGCCTCAAAGAGTTTTGTATTTCTTATTGAATCATACATCCATTTCTTGTAGGGATTCTAGGGACATGTTACCAAATACTGGAATGTCACTGAAGCATAATAGAAAATGTTTTTCAGTTCTTTATAAATATCTCTTCTGCATGTGTGCATTTGAGTTTCAACATTCATAATGTGGTATAGGAACTTAATGAAATATGTTTTCTTTTACACTTACCAGTTAAAATAGTATTGAATTTTGACGACTAAATCCCCAAACAATTTAAACAGTTCTTTCCAGAAGTAGCCARCTAATCCATTTGCACCCTAATTCCTCCGATCTGTGGGTTTGATATCTTTGGTTCAGTAATTTAAAATGCTATTTTAAATGTGCTATGTTGATTAGAGTATGATCTTGATAATTCTCATGTTTGTCATGCAGTTCCTAATTCAAACTGCTATTAATTGCTTCCTTTTCCTTTTCCTTTTCCTCATTATTATTATTCCTGTTTATTCTGTCAAAAAAATCAATAACCAGAAAAGGTTGCCTTGTTAATGTCATAAGCGCCTCAAATTATGTTTTTTCSAGTCAAGATACAAGCTCTTGATGGAGGAATGTGCTACTGTTCAAATCTACTTTATCTGCAATTATTTGTTAAAATCTTCTTTTACATTTAAGTGTCTAACAAGAAATTCTTTCTTGTTTCTCGTAGTTAATTTCTGCCCCATACCTTTTTTTCCACTCAATTTTTTTTTAAGTTGAGATTAACACTCAAATTCACACTGAGTAGTAATTCCACCCTCTTTGATTCTTGTCCCTGCCTTTATGTCTAACAGAGTTCTATAGGGCCTTGGGTCATCTCTACCCTGAAAATTTCTCAGTTACATTAAAAGAACAAGTTTTAAGTGACTTTTTTTCTTTTGTCTTTTCTCCCTGTTCCTGCGTAGGCTCTGACATCAGTAGTTAACTACAGGGAACCCAAGTCAATCTGCAAAGCACCTGAGTTGGTAAGACGTGCTTTATTGCAGAATGTAACAATACTGTTTTCAAACTCCTGAATGAATTGGCCCGATTTTTCTTATGCCACTCTCAGGTATATATTTTAGAAATAATAATTTAACTTGCACATGCATGTTGTGAGAAARCAAGAAGGTTGCGCAGTTGTAACGTTTTATAAGAAATATTTATTTAAGTGCAATTTCCATCTTTTACCTATGATTACAATCCTTAAAGCAAGAGAAGATAAAATGAGCTATTTTTGCTTTAACTTTTGCGTAGTAGTTTAGTGCACGTTGGCATACGTTTGTTCTCAAGCTTGACAGGTAGATTTTTTCTTTTTTTAATTTGAGCTGGCCAAGTACTGTGACAACTTGCTGAAGAAGTCAGCGAAAGGAATGACAGAGAATGAAGTAGAGGACAAACTCACTAGTTTCATTACTGTCTTCAAATACATTGATGACAAAGATGTATTCCAAAAGGTAATTTTGATATTCAATAAACGTTGAATACTGAATTCAAAGTATCCCTAGGAATGTGATTATTCATTTTTTAAAATCCTCATTTCCGTTTTCTTATGCAGTTCTATGCCCGAATGCTGGCAAAAAGACTAATTCATGGTTTGTCTATGTCTATGGACTCCGAAGAAGCCATGATTAATAAACTAAAGGTAACCTGTTCCCTTCTAATGTACAATTAATTAAAAGTAAACATAAGAGTATGTAATTTTGAGAGGATCCAGCAGAGGGTACCAGAGATAACTTAGCAGTTTGTAATTGTTTCCAACAKCTGAAAGGAAAAGTTTATTTCTTGTCGTGAATGGGAGACGTATTGCCCAATAATACTTAAATATTTGAGATTTTGAGGTTTTGGATAACCTTATCAAGTGAGTTCAAATATTCCATATTACATAACTTGTCACAAAGCATCTTTATCTTTCAATTTTATAAAAGAACACTAGTCATGTATGGCCATGTATAGAAGGGTGGCGTTGAGGTGARTCTAACTTTTATATAAAATCTTCTTTTACATATAGTTTTCCTTTATGTTTCATGTTTTCTCTAAATAGTATGATAGCTATTCTACAGTCTTGATTATTTTTTAGTAGTAAATGTGCATAGTTGTACTGTTTTCACTCTGAAATTTACTGTATTTCTTCACAGCAAGCCTGTGGTTATGAATTTACCAGCAAGCTCCACCGAATGTACACAGACATGAGCGTCAGTGCTGATCTCAACAATAAATTCAACAACTTCATCAAAAACCAAGACACAATTATAGATTTGGGAATTAGTTTTCAGATATATGTTCTACAGGTACTAGTGTATGTTTTTGTTACTGAGTCCTTTGTACTTGATTCTTATGTTTTGATAACTATGAATATTCYTTATATGGAAATAGAAACATTGTAATCACTGTGGAATGATATGTATTCCTGGTTTTAAGTTTTAAAATTACTTCAGAAACCCATTAACAATAGTGATAGAAAATGCCTTATTTTCTTGTCTTGAAATAATGCTTCACAGGTCCAAATGAAATGTCTTACAACCTTGTTTACGCTGTTCAGGGGGGGGGTTATTTTTTCTTTTATTTTTTTATATATATATATTTTAAAAAAATAAAATGTTTGGAATTTGTATAAAAATATGAATGCTTTTGTGTTTTCTGCTACCTTCAGGCTGGTGCGTGGCCTCTAACTCAGACTCCTTCCTCTACATTTGCAATTCCTCAGGAACTGGAAAAAAGTGTACAGATGGTAGGTTAGTAGGGGGTTCCTTGCAAACATCTGGGAAATGTAAAAGTATATCTTCAGAATTGCTAAAGAGAACAAAAGATAATTATTCTAACAGAAAAAAAACTGAGCTGCTTTTTATTGATTGATTGATGAAACATCACTGTCTGGCCTCCAGTTAGATGAAACTTTGAAAGGTCACACAATTTTTCTGAATATATACGTAGCTTTTCTTTATTTCTAAAGCACCTGAAGGACTGACAAGGGAGATGCTGCCAAATGTAATCCAACAGACTAGGTTGGATCTTAGCTTATATACTGATTTCTAATAGTTAGGTAAAAGAAGGCATTCTGACACCAGTATTTCCATGTCCTGTATCTCTTAGGAGCCATTAAAACTTAAAAGATATTTGTGAAAATTCTGTGAAGAATATTTTGAGCAGAAAAAAAAAAAAAGTAAAACGGGTGTTCTGAATTGACTTCAATGAATTTTATCAATTTTAGTGAATCAAAACTATGGAATATAGAATTGGTTTTACCAAATGCTTCCTTCATCTTCATCTTCATCCTTCTAAAACAAGATGCTATCACAAACTTGTTTGAGATGTTCATCAAAAATAGTGAACTCAAAGTTAGTGTTTCTTCACTGGGATGACAGCATAATAATAAAATATAATGAATGTTGTACGTGTGATTAATGGAAGTTAATTTTTTTTTTTTGCAGTTTGAATTATTTTACAGTCAGCATTTTAGTGGAAGGAAGCTCACGTGGTTACATTATCTTTGTACAGGTAAAAATAAATACTTCAATGAACTTTCTCTACAAGCCTGAAACTTGTTAGACTCAGCTGTCAGCACATTGCGTTGCATGTAAATTCAAATGACTTGTTTTATACCATAAATTAATGGTTGCTTAGAATTTCTMAATTTCTGCTTTATAAACATGCATGTATTATTTGTGACTAACTARATCTACATAAAGCTGGAGTTGTGGCCCTTAACTTCATAAGGACACCGTGGAGTTCCTGACCTGGTACCAATTACCTCGGAATTGTTCCTGTCATATCAGATCCCTCTGGGTGTCCCCTAGCAGACAATTAAATAATTTCTAAGTAGTGGTATGCTAGTTAACTTAATTTTACCTAGATATGTAAATATTTAAGTTCATAGTTGACTTGGTTACGTATATAGCACATATATAACATTATTTATATACATATATGAAATTAATGTATGTATATATCTGTATGTACTCATATGCATATATAAGTAAATATGCATAAAGTTTTGGGTGAATTAATAAATATTGGCCTTTCATATTCCTTTTCAATTCTTTCTATACCAGACTTTAATGACTGAGCACAACAATATATTGGAGTTGAAAACTAGAACACAASAATTATAATAATGAAACTTTAATTGTGACAATAGAAAATTACCGTAAACTTATGCTCACCCTCAAAAAGAAAATCTGCTTCCAAGCAGTTTTTTTCTTCTTCTTTTTTTTTAATTTTAGAAGAATTTAAAGAAATTAAGAATACCAGTAGTATTCCTTTATGGGAAATTAATATAGAAAGTTTAGTTTGTTTTTCATGCTTTTCTCAGGAGAGCTTTTCTGTAAGCTGTCATTAATTGGAGATCGTACCTTGCAGTRCACTGAGACTATTTGGAATTTCCTTTTTTTTCGTTACTACAAATTATATTGCATTTTTGAAATTCAGCGCTGCAGATTTTATTTTCCTTGAAAACACAGCAGTTCTGCCATTCATGAATAACCAGAGTTCTTTTTGTGGCAAACTCTATGCTCGAGATGTGTTTTCACAGCTCTGGCTTTCCACGTTCCCATGTGAATTGTTAAATACTAAGTGTGAATTTAATACACATGAGCTGCACTTACAGAGGAATTGTATGAGCGATTCTAGTCACCAGGYTTCAGGTGACTCTTCAGCCCATTCCATTAGCTTATAAAATATTTCTTATCATTACAGGTGAAGTAAAAATGAATTATTTGTGCAAACCTTACGTAGCCATGGTCACCACATACCAAATGGCAGTGTTACTTGCCTTCAACAACAGTGAAACTGTCAGTTACAAGGAGCTTCAGGACAGCACACAGATGAATGAGAAGGAACTGACAAAAACCATCAAATCTTTACTTGATGTCAAAATGATCAACCATGACTCGGACAAGGTATGGAGCAACGATGTGAAAACGTCTTAATTTCTTTGGTCATGCAAGTCTACTATTTGTTGAGGGCTCTTTTGCATAAAAGAATCCACTCTTTGYTTTTTTTGAATTGTATTGTTGACCTTTGTGAACCATTATAACTATTTATGAAGGAAAACAGAACAGACTTTTTCGTCTTATTTTYTCCTGTATAGGAGGGTCTGCTATGAAGGTAATAACGCTAAGGGCTTGTATAGTCTTGGGTTTTTKTGTGGAATTTCATCCATATGTCCTTAAACCCAGTATTGTTGGAGGGGAATACACAGTAGCTGCACTTTCAGAGTTGTTCTGGATCATGGGAARGAACTTGAGCAGTGGATCAAAAGTCCCAAAGATTCTTAAAATAAGGATGTGGGAATAAGAGCCTGGAAGGAGCAGCAATGTGATTTTCCTTACTATACATCCCAGAGGGAGGAGGGAGGAAGAAAGCTGGGATTGTGGGTGTAGATTTTTGCTGTGTTTTGCCTGGCTCTCATTCTGTGACTTTTGTGCAATTTCAGGAAGAGCCCAGTTAGGTTCGTAGTCAAGGCAAGGGATTCTCTTTCTAACTCTGCCTTGCACTGTCTGGGCTGCATGACCTATGTCAAACCACATAGCTTTTGTTGCCCCCTAAAACGAAAGATACAGATGTCTGTTATGTAAGAAACACTACAGAAATGCTCGTGCTTGCCCGAAGAAGTCTRGGATTTGCTTCCAGCCAGTCAGGAAAGCCTAAATTATTCAGGCAGTATCAGGCAGAAGAAACAGAGATAAGCTGTTCCGTGGCTAATGAGAAGAGATCCAAAGCTGCTCTGATAGCTGCTTTTTTTTTTTAACCAGGAAAATATTAGAAAATGGAAAGTGAGATCACAAGGAAGATGTGATGCTTGGCTGAAGCATAGGATATGCTTCCAATATCTAGAAATGAGCTCAGGTTGGAACAGAGGCTGGGAAGATGTTGTTAAACCGTGGGTAAAATGTAACACTGGGAACTATTAAAAAAAAAAAAAAAAAAAGATTTTTTCATAATCATAGAAGATTGCCCATTCTTTAATGGATTTCGTCTGTTTATATATGAAAAGATTCATCTGTTTATATATATATATATATATATAAAGATTTGCCCAGTTTCTTCAAACATAAATCACTTGAAGAGTAAATGTCATAGATTTCCAGTCTTTCTACATTTTAATGTATACCGCTGTGTATTCTGGTCCTTTAACTTCCAGCTATTTTATTTGGTCATCTTTGCTCTACTTTTTTCTACTTCATCCATCAGTGTGAAAACTGATTTTTACATAGTATATCAGCTATTTTATTAAATAAAACAATGAACTTAAATGGCTTAAGCAGTAAATTTGAATGTTTTTTTACCTGTATCTGAGCCATGCAGCAAAGCAAAATGTATTATGTGTTTTTAATTTGCTTTAGATTAAGAAAATGAAACTCTTTTGAAAAAATCTTTGTTAGTTCATTAGTCATAACTTTCTAGTTCATAAGCAGCATGTGAGTAATTTATTTTTATTTCTAATCAACTTGATAAGGACAGTAGCACTAAAATACAATGAAAATGCATGTTTTTTTCCTAGCTCCTTCGTGTTAAATTTTCTGTGTTGTGTCTAAATTTTACAAAAGCCTTTGCACATTCTACAACAAATATCATTATCAATTAATAGTGTTATTGATATATTTTTAGATAAATACTGGCTTTGCTAAAGTACTTGCGTGGTTTGGCGAGATTCCAACCTAAGAAGCCCAGGAGCTTGTTCTGTTAGAAATCAGTGACACTTGTCACTGGATTCTTGCCTGGATTCTGCAAAGATCAGATCCAATTTGATCAGTCGAATGTAAAGGTGCTTGGACCTGTTGAATAGTTGTCATTTGCTGAAAGTAGTGGACTGCTACAAAATGTGTGTGGGGAAAAATGTCAGGTTACAATAAAAAAGAAATATACAGATGATGTGGAATTGTAAACCTGCGGTCAGCCAGCTCTTAGTTACACAAGTAAGAGGTTCTCTGTCTTGAGGTTCTGCATAAATAAATATGAATCCCAATTTCTCTGCAGGAAGAAAATTAGTTTAAATGGAGATTTTTTAATTAAATTAAGCTGTTGACATATTAAAGCAGAAATTACTGTGATATTACTGACTATATTGACTGTGATACTATGACAGTACTCATATATTTCAGAGTTCTTGCTAATATTTGCTAAAATAGATTGAATTTCTAGGTTGTTTATACTGTTGCTTAAAAAGCTGATGTGATTCAGGTGGCTCTGTAGAATTTCCAGATACAAAACTCCAGAAATTCCATGTATGCAAGTCCMTAGATGTCATTTTTCAAAGTAAATTCTTATTCTGGCAAATCCTAGTTCTTTATTGTATTTTGATTCCGTTTCTGTTTTGTTTAAAAAAAAAAAAACTTTATTGCAGGAAGAAATAGAAGCAGAGTCTACATTTTCATTAAATATGAACTTCAGCAGTAAACGAACAAAATTCAAAATTACAACATCAATGCAGAAGGACACACCACAGGCAAGTATTCTGTGGTAGTTCAAATGGGTTTTGGAAACTTTTAGTTTGGGATAAACAGATGAAAGAGTCTGTGCAAGATTTACATGATTAAAGAAAAATGTTCAGTTTAGAAACTGAAGCATTGCAGTTTTTTGGTGCTAGAAATGCAGAGGCGTTGGCAGGACAAAATGGCGTAGGGAGTCAGTAGGAAAAAAAATTAAGTCCCTCTTGAACCAAATGAGTTTGACGTGTAGCATTTTTTATCTAATAAGAATTCTCTCGTGTGTGATTGAATTTAAAAGCAGGTTCTTCCATGAGCAGCAGAACCAATCCTCTCAGTTTTCATATGGTTTGTGCCTTGTCAGCTGCCCTATGTCAGTAATCCCCATTCCCTCTGGAATCCCCTGAGGCTTTGTACGAGAGTCAGGAAGTGTGTGTSCTAGAGCAGGACCTGCCTGCCTTTCTCTTGTGTGAAAATGCTGTTTTGGAGGTGCCTCTGCAACCCATCTCCTGACTTACAGGAAAGCTGTAGAAAATTATTTTCTTTGGGATATCTTCCTTCTTTTAAATTTGGCCAGAGAAATGGCCAGTGTCAGATTACTAGGAGAACTGGAAATCAAAAAGGTGATGCGACTTTCAAACCATTTTTTTCCCCAAAGGAAAAAGCAGGTTGTAGGCACGTAGGGTTTTTATTAGAGCTTAATAGCCTTTTTAGGGCAGTAGCTGTTGGAAACTTCTTATAATATTGAGACTTGCATCTGAATAAATCTTTATTACTGGGCAGAATTTGTACATCAAGACTGAAGATTAAAAAAAAAGTTTCATTATTATGTTGTGCCTGAGTACAAATTAGTTGTTTCAACATTTGTAGATTATTTCTCCTACCTGAAATCACTATTGTAATAGAGAGCTTAATCTGAACTAAATTTTGGAAGCATGATTCTACATTCTATACTTTAGTACTTCCATAATCAATTCGCCAGTTGATGGTTTGGTGAGGGGTAGGCAAATTTTTATATTTATATATATGTGTGTGTGTGTGTGTATAAATATACATACATATGTATATTTATACATATACAGATGTATATTTATACATATGCAGATGACACCAAGCTGGGTGGAGTGGCCGACACTCYGGAGGGCTGTGCTGCCATCCAGAGGGACCTGGACAGGCTGGAGAGTTGGGCAGAGAGGAACCTCATGAGGTTCAATAAGGACAAGTGCAGGGTCCTGCACCTGGGGAGGAATAACCCCAGGCATCAGTACAGATTAGGGGTSGACCTGCTGGAAAGCACCTCCACGGAGAGGGACCTGRGAGTCCTGGTTGACACTAMRTTAACCATGAGTSAGCAGTGTGCCCTCGTGGCCAAGAAGGCCARTGGSATCCTGGCCTGCATCAGGAGGAGTGTTGCCAGCAGGTCAAGGGAGGTGATTCTGCCCCTCTACTCAGCTCTGGTGAGGCCGCACCTGGAGYACTGTGTKCAGTTCTGGGCACCCCAGTATAGGAGGGACGTGGAGCTTCTSGAGAGGGTCCAGAGAAGGGCAACCAGGATGATTAAGGGAATGGAACATCTCTCGTATGAAGAGAGGCTGAGTGAGCTGGGCCTGTTTTCTCTGGAGAAGAGACGGCTCAGAGGGGATATGATTAATATGTATAAGTTCAGGAAGGGAGAATGCAGGGAGGAAGGGGACARGCTGTTCTCACTGGTGACCAGCGATAGGACGAGGGGTAACGGCCACAAGCTGAAACACAAGAAGTTCCGTCTCCAGGTGAGGAGGAACTTCTTTACTGTTAGGGTGACAGAGCAGTGGAACAGGCTGCCCGGGGAGGTTGTGGAGTCTCCTACTCTGGAGGTCTTCAAAACCCGCCTGGATGCCACCCTGTGCCACATGCTGTAGGTGTGCCTGCTTGAGCAGGAAGGTTGGACTAGATGATCTGTAGAGGTCCCTTCCAACCTTAAATATTCTGTGAATCTGTGAAAAAAAAACCTGTGTAACAAAATATATTTATAAATATGTGATGCTAGAAAAAAATATATACTGTAAATAGTTCCATATCTGTGAAAGAAAGGGGAGGCATGGGAAATCTTATGATAAGCCAGTACTGCACAGATGGAAATCTAATGTGATTTGAGATTGTAGTTTAATTACTCTCTCCTATCAAGTGATCTGACACGCTTTCTGTACCAGCTGACCTCAACACCAACTACTGCAAAACACAGCAGTGCACTGGGACATCATTTGATTGAAACAATTGCTAAACATTTTATTAAAGGCTTGCTCTTGCCACTTGTAGGCTTAACAGGGATAAGATGTCTGAACTGAGTAGTACTTCCCAACTCATTTCTGACTGGGACTTTCTTAAGTTGGGCTGTTTCAGCAGAACGAAGGTATGCAGGACATGAGTTTGGGCCTATTTCAGTGCTGTCCTACACCCTTTTAATTGAATCCGGCATTCTTGATCTGGGAAAGTCGACAACTATATATCACCTGGGGTTTAGTACTAATTGATTTTTAGTAAAATAAAAACCATAGACTAAATATACTGTTAACAGTGGGATTTTTTTATATTCTTGTATCTTTGAAGCATTGCTGCTCTTCTGTTTTGCAGGAGATGGAGCAGACCAGAAGTGCTGTAGATGAAGACAGAAAAATGTATCTACAAGCTGCTATAGTCCGTATCATGAAAGCACGTAAAGTGTTGAGACATAATGCCCTTATTCAGGAGGTAAGATAACGTTCTCTTCTGAAATGTGGTTTGGTGGAAAGCTTCAGGATAGCTGCATAAAGCATCTGACCCCCAAACTGCAGTTCTGTGTCAAAACAAATACTTAAGTGAAGTTAGTGAGAATTTCATTGGAGTCTGCTTTAAACTATAAGCTGGAACACTTAGCTGTAACTAGTCAATCCTATAAATCAAGCATTAAGACCTGCTCTTTCCTGCTGCTTGGTTCTGTGCCAGCCCAGGTCCTATCCTATAATAGTCACTAAGCCAAAGCCATCAGTGAGTCTGAGGAGACCTGAGTTTGGATGTTCTAGGTGTGGGATTGCCACAGAAGCATCTACCTGGTTTTGAGTTCTTTTCATAAAATTTGATTTTATTTTGCTTCTTGGCTTACATTTTAAAGATGGTGGAAGTATATAGACATGCACTGTATTTTTCCTTTAAGCAGAACAATTGTCTAGATTTTCTGGATTCAGAGTCTGCGAACTGTCACAGGCTGGCAGGGAAGGAGGTGCCCTTTCACTTGCTTTTCTCCACCTCTCCCCACTGTGGCTGCCCTACAGCATTCCACACTCCAAGCCCTTATCCTAACTTTTGTTTATGCCTTAGATACCAACCAATTCCCAGATTTAATTTTCCAGCCTTTCAAGACATTCACTCTTCAGTCTGATTCACCCTGTGCATCTCCAGAGCCTTGCCTGGTAACTCCCTCCCAGGGCAGACTGGTGAGGGAGGGAATTCCTGCTCTGTTGGGCCATTTTGATCATGGAGGTGGGGTGGTATTCAGGCATTTTGAGACCTTCTGTAGAGTTTCTGTCCTGGGGTGATGGAGACTGTCTCCCACACCCACCAGTTAATGTGTATTTTATTTCCTAAACAAAATAAGTAGCTACAAAGAGTATATAAGTCCAGAGCTTACATACGACTGATCACGTGAAACATCTTAAAACTTTTGGATGTTGAGATAGTGCTTGTACACAAATGCTGTCAAAAGGAGCTTAGTTGTAAAAAATCTGATTTTGAACATCTCAAAGYGAAGGCAGCCTAGGTACTGATTATTTTTCAAAACTGAGTTATTTACTATTGTTATAGTCATTGTGAATAAACCATGTAAAAAAAAATTAGGTTCAGCTGGAGACTGCTAAGCAAGCCCTGTTTAATCTTTGAAAATGATTTATTTTCTCTATACTCTCAACTTTTCTAAATAGATTTTCAGTGTGTGCTCTCCTTGAGGCCGGTTCAAGTGGTGGAGTAGCTTATAAGTCTTGATCTTAAACCCAAGTGATTTTTTAAATCTATTTTTTTCCTTTCTTTAATTCARGAGACTCTGTCTGTGGCACCTCTGTTGCATTTTGTTCTTGCAATACTCTTGCATAATAGGGCAGTCTTTTTCAAGCCTTGCAGCAAACGTTGGTATTTTGATATCTAGTCAGTTTAAGTAGCAACACACGAAGAACAGAGACTAAGGTTGGTGCTCCATTTATCTATCATGAGTCACGTCAACCTGCATCAATTTTTAAGTAAGCTTTTAACTAAATGTATAATACTTGCAAAAGAGTGTCCTTAATGATTTAGTCCGTAGTTCTCAATTTTTAATATCATTTATGCCCTCAGTGGATTTGAGTGTTTGGAGGTTAGGTATTTAAGTTATTGATACCTGTGCTGCAGTATGGCACAGGGGTGACTTCCAGCACCACAGGAGCAGTTGAAGTCCACCAGGCAGTGAGGTGAAGCAGTACAGAAATCCATCAGGGCTAAACTTTCTTGTATTTTGCCTTCTGAATTAGTCTGTGCAAATCTCTGTGCTGTGTCAGCTAAGCTCTTATTTAGGTCCTGAACTAGATTCTTTAAAATTTGCTAGGTGTCCTTCCTGCAGCCTGCGATACAGATCCACTTGTAGCCYTCTAGATCTGCTTAGGACAATACGCTACTGCCAGCTTGCAGAGCAAACTGGGAGACGGGGTATGTGTCCTTAATGGTTAAACGTAAAGATGAAAAATCTCATAGCAGGCAGAAATTTCACCTGATTTCATGTGCATTGAGCTCAGTAGTAGCTTGGTTTGCTTCACAGTGTAYGAATACGGCCAGCCTGGCAGGTGGGCTGAGCTGCTGGGCACGCTTGGTCTTCTCAATAGACTGACTTTGGTTATTTAATGAATAACCATCAACGCTGTTAAACTTTGACTTCCAACTTCTTGTTCAATTAAACTTCTTGACTGCCCAGCTTTGAATATTTATTTCCTGCCAGCTGTCCAGTAAGGTGCGATTTATTGTCGAGACCATTTTTATTTCCTATCACATTCGTTTGTGATATTTTTACTAATTATGTTGGCAGGTTTACTTCTTGTAGCATTTATCATATTTAAATATTYGTAAGTTGTGTATTCCTTTACAGTTTCTGGTCTGACTTTTTGAGAAATGAGAATGAATCTCTTGAACAGAAATGTTTGCCATAAATAGTTAATGATATTATGCTTGCCTCATTAAAGCCTCTTTTTCTGAGATATAAAGGTAGGATTATATTGTTAGAAAYATGATGAAAATACTCTTGAACTCCCTTTATTGTGAATGATTCTATCTCATTCTAAAACTTGACTGCATTTCACTTTAAGCTGGAGTGCCCATAGAAGGCACAGAAGGTCCTGGGTAGGTCTGTGTAGGTTGTTATGCAGTCACATATGACATGCACTTCCCTGGCCTGCAGGGACACTCCTTGACCCTGGCTGCTCGCCCAGCAATGCTCTTTTTGGGAGGCTTTGGGGTTTTTTTGCTGGGGTCAAAGCCCATGGCGCAAAGTTCAGCTGGCACAGAGGGCTGTGCTGATGAAAACACAGAGTTTACAATCTTTAAAATACTTCAAAATTACTCAAAATRTGGAAGCTCAGAATTTTAATATTCCAAAACAACAGAAGTACATAGAGGCAAGTAAAATTTACCTACCTCAAGAACTAAAGTTAGTTAACAGAGCCAACATAAATACCAAATGCACCTTTTTGGTGTTTATAAAGCTTTCTCTTTGCTTAGACTTTGATGATAGTAACAGAAGTGAAGAAATGCATTCATGCTAAACTAGTTTTAACTTGAAGATTCATCTTAATTTGCACCATGACAAAAAAGCAAGCAAGAGGATGGGAAAGATGCAGYTAATACACAAGCAAGCTGAACCATSACTTTGTGTCCTGCCCGTAGTGCAGTGATGCTTTGGTGTTATAGGCTATCCCATATTTATTTATTTTGTTTATAAAAGAAAAACATACATTGTTTGTCTGCAGGCACGCCCTGATTTTTTTCCAAAGCATTTATAACTGATGGTAATAAAAATTTCACCCCACATGTCCATCTTGTGCAGGTAATTAGCCAATCAAGAGCCCGGTTTAACCCCAGCATCAGCATGATCAAGAAGTGCATCGAGGTTCTCATCGACAAGCAGTACATCGAGCGCAGCCAGGCGTCGGCGGACGAGTACAGCTACGTGGCGTGACGCTGCGGCCGCGGGGACGCAGCCCGGGAGCCCGCGGGCGGCCGCCGCGCGCCCCTGTGCGAGGAGGCCGCCCGCCGCCTCCCTCATCGGTCACTTGGCAGCCCCTGTTTTTCTGCTGTTTACAACATCACCAGTGCCATGTCATGAGCGTCAATGGAAATGCCTATAGATATTTCAAGCTCATGTCATTATGACATTTCTTAAAACTTTACTAAAAGAATGAGTGAAGTATTGCTGAAATGTGGAAAATTTGGTTGGGTACCATGCTTTTTTTTTTTTTTTTTTTTTTTCTCTCCCCACCTTCCCCTTCACGTTTGCAGTTGATGTTTTTTAATGTATCTTAAAACAAAGTTAAAAAAACCTAAATATTGTAATATGACAGATAACCTAATAATTGTATCTACATTAAAATGTAAAAAAAAAAAAAAATGACGAACATGATACTGCTGCTTGTCAAATAAAAAAAATAAAGATATATAATGTGTCTCTAATGATTGTAGAAATGGCTATAGCATGAATGTCTGTAAATATTCTTCAGACCTGGAGGAATAAAAATAATGCCATGTGTTTGGGTTTTCAATAATCTCAGAAGCAGATCTATCAAAAACTAATTTATATGGAAACTGAATACTAAATATCTTAAGTTTTATGTAATCATAAAAGCGATTTTTGCTTAAGTGCATGTTTTGTTTCCTTGAGATTAGGCTAACTTTTTACATTTAGTGCCTGAAGGCCTATTTTGTGTCTTTTGTTCTTACATTGCACAAAGATGTTACAGGAGAAAATAAATGGATGTTTGGGGAAATTTCAGGTAGTATAGGCCAAAAGAAATAGGCATGGTTATTGTAAGCATCAAAGCCACGGTCCTGGGGCTTGTGCAATGACCCTCTTCCTCRGAAGGAGTCTGGTAGACTGGAACATCGGTTCTTTCACAGGTGCATTGGGTAGAAGCAGTGTGTGCATAGGCACCCATTCTGTTTCCAGATAAGCCCGTAATGCTTTTTTWATATTTTCTTCCTAATTAATAATTTTCTAAAGCACTCACTGTGATACCGCAGTTAAAGGGAGCTTAAGAGAGAAGGCAGCTTTTAAATTGATTTTAAAGATGGTAGCGAGTGCCTGCTGCATGCACTGATTCCCAGAGGGTCCCCTGCAGGGCTCTGCCTGCTGCTACTCACAGGCAGAAGTGTAAAGCTAAATTTTAATATTTCCCCTACTTCCCTACACAGCCTTTCTTGTTGTGTGTGTAGGGTTTTTTTTTTTTAATAAGATTTGTTTTAGACTTTGTGGTATTTCACTGCCCACTCAGAGTTCACAGATTAAGATTTAATAAGATTTCCAAGGCTTTTTAAAAGGAAGAGTGAACTCATAGGACAAATGTTTTCCTGCTGTTTTCCATCCTTTTTTTATTTTCACTGGGTGAATGGCTTCTCACAGACACTCACATTGTTGCTATCTCTTATTTCTTAAGCAGCATTATATCCATATGTCATTATATAGTTGACTAGAATATGAGGCAGTAATATCTTTTGTTTATATGGATTTGCTGAGGAGAGGAAAAAAAAGGCAATAAATGAAGGACACCACATTTCTTCAGAATTAATGGTATTTAATCTTAGTTCTCTAAGGTCTAAATTAATGAAATTTGGCTTACATCCTGAAGAAGTGGGTTTGGGATTTTTGTTTGTTTTTTGATCTTAGTGTAGTGCAATCAATAGATCTTCTTTGAAGTGGTAGCTCAGAGTTGAAGGACCCCTCACATGCCTGTAGTGCCATTTAATACACAGAGTGGGAGATGCAGTGCTGTAGATTTTTCACTAGTTACTTTTGAACTGTTTCAGTGTGAAAAGTTACTGTAGTTTATAAAAAGTAATTCATGAATTCTCTGACCATAAAAAAACAGCAGAGGACATGGTCTATGACAATAGAAAAATGAAAAAGACACTGAATGAATGTCRAGTCATCAGATCTTTTCTCAAAGAAGCAAACTAACTGATACTGAAACATCCGAAAAGCGATGATTCATCTTGCAATTTGTGAATAAGACAACAGTTTTTAAGCCTGATTTTCAAATATAGTAAAATTATATTTAAATGTAGATTGCTGGAGCAAAATTTTAACACCTCATTTTACAAAGCCTTTACAAAACTTATTTTCACAATCAGTCCATAGACAAAACAAACAGCTTCACACGTTTGGGCTAGAGTTTTAGATTTAGTTTTMGGTTTTAGAGTTAACCTTATCGCTGAATTTTTGCATACCTAAAACACCAAAAATAATACAGTGTTTTTCAGGTAAGCGTGCTGCTCAGTTGAGACACATTTAGTGAATTAAAAATATTTGTATATTTTAGTTCAGCTGGCATCCACAGACTTGTAGTTACAGTTATACACAAGCTCTGTTTTTTTGGTGCCTTTTGGGAAACGCAGTTATACCTGGGAAATGTTTTTGCATTCGAGTTTATGACTCTCTCTGTCCTCTAAGGAAAAAAGCTAATGAAAAGATGGAGCCCTCTGGAGTTGCCTTCGGTCACTGAAGTCATCGCTGATAGATAGATCCTGCACTGTAACCTCCAGCCTGGCCGCTCAACAAATCTGGCAAGTGCCATTTCAAAATACAAAGTGCTACTGGGTAATAACAGGAGATGGAAATTATAAAAAAAAAAACAAACCACAAGAAGAATGACATCTTAAAAAGAAAGTGATTTCTTGCATTTCATAACCTTTCTAATGGCAAAATGGATTTTACCTGTAATACGATGTACTAGTGATACATTCTCAGTTTTCAGTGGTGGTACTTCAGTATTTTCAGTTAGTAAAAAAAAAAAAAATCGGTTTCGCTTAAAGTTATTTTGAGATTGATTAGGAAAATGGTTTCTTGATTGATTCTAGGAAAGAAAAAATGTGTACTTGCATTTTAGTACATTCGACAGTGCTGCTGGCACCCTATGAGGTATGTATATTGCCATAACACAAGAAAGTTTTTGAACCTGAAAGTAACATTACTTTTTAAGAAAATTTTCAAGAGGAAGACCGCTGTTCCCAATAAAGAACAGAATAGAAAAATCAGTCAAAAGAGAAATGCAGTTTTTAACCTGATGCCTTACAGCTAGGCTTAGGAAACTTTTTCTTATCCTTAAAAATGTTATTTTTAGGAGCAAGCCTTACAACATGTTGATTCCTTAGGGAAAATAAATATTTTGTACTGTAGGGCAAAAACGTTAGGACTGGCTGTGATTTACAAATGTGATAAATACCTAGATCTTGTTAATCTAAGATATTACAGGCTATGAAAATGTATTATCCAGAAACAATTTTTCTTGTACTGGGTCTTGTGATAGTAAGTTGAAGGCTGTCCAGAGCTTACTTGTTTACTGCAGTTCATAGTGATAACAAAGGGAGAGTGAACAGATATCATAAAATCAGACACATGCAGCTGGGATATGCATTTCTTGTCTTTGCTCTGTACAATTAACAACCTGTTTGCATCCGCAAGGTAAGAAAATCAAGGCGGCCAAAGGAGAGAGGTAAATGAGAGGCTAGTTGGCTTCTTTTTGAGAAATACTGACATATTTTTGTGTTCATATTCGTCGTTGAATCACTTAAGCATGCACTGACACATTGATTAACGTGTTACTACTTAGTTCAGTTTTGATGGTTACTGACGTGTCACAGGTTTGGGGAAGAAGGGTATTAAGGTATTTAAAGGAGCATTGTGTTTGACCAGGCCATGGGCTGGTGCTGTCACCTGTCACAGTGATACACGGTGTGAGACTGGAAGGCTTCCTTGGTCTCCTCAGTGAGGCCAGTGTCGGATATACATCTGGGAAGTGGGGGGTGCAGTGTTTCATACTCCAGAAAGCTATACCTTGCATATCTTCCTTCCAGTCAGATAAATAATATACTCATGTCCCTACAAATACATCTCTCCTTCCCTTCTCTGGYGTAGTGTAACAAATGAAGAAGAGAAGATCTTGTAGAAAGCAAAATGGCATGGATGAAGCAGTTTCTAATGCCTGCACAGCCAGGGATCCATTCTTTCAGTCTGACTCTTAYCCAGTCTTTAGATGTATTAGTGTTTACAAGGGCAATGGATATGTAAGAGAAGTATGTTAGACATGTTTCCAGCTGAAGGAGGGCCTGTTCTCAGCATAATTATTGAATGTTATGTGCAGTAATTATCAACTTTTTGATGGAAGCTGATTGTTCTATTGGCCTGATATGTGTTAAACTTTCATTTTTTTCCAGCAACTGCGAGTAGTGGCCAACAGTTACTGCAGAATTTTGAAACTTGGAAGGTTGTTACTGCAACCTATCTCTTAATCTTGGTTATAGCATGTCCTGGAACATACTACAGATATAATGTTAAAATAAATAACACTTTTCAGAGAGTTTTCACTTTATTTTGAGCAGTTCAGTTTTGTAAAATATATTTGGGTCATCACCGTAACTGTGCACAGGTTGCCTCTTTGCAGCTCGTCAGCTTAATAAGATTCATGATCAACAAAAGGACATGACATGAGTGAGAAAAGAGTAAAACATATCTGAGTAACTGTTAGATAACAATAGGTAAGAACACTCTGAAGCAACATATCAGGAAATCATTCTGTGAAGTAGTTACCTTCGTATTTGAATCCAGTTTCAGAATGTTTCATGGAGTCTGTTTTAAGAAACACTAGACATCTGGTTCCTTTCCAGTAGTGAAGTTTATGGACTGAGGAACTGCCTACGRGAATCAAGAAGCAGCAATGGGGAGAAGGATGTGAACCCCTCTACTGCCTCAGCTTCTGAATATGATTCAGGGCTTCTTGGGTGCATAGGACAGTGCACAGCAAACACTTCCTTTAGGCTTGGTTCTAGTTTAAAGGAAGGAAGGGTATAAGCATAGCTGCCACTCAGTATGCCACTAATAATAATCAGGTGGCCAGTGCTTTCAAAAAACAGGACACCTCGTCTTTTTGACTTCAGTTTTCCTTTGCTCATGAGTGCCTAATTGTAACTTATAAGGTAAGCACACTGTATTGCTTCTGTTGGATGAAGGTGGTTTTGATRTAGTGTGAAGATAGATCAATCCTTACCTGCTTCCCAAGACCTGTTACGTATCTTACATCACAATATTCAACGGAGTGAACAACAGAGTAATTGGAGGAAGGGATCTGCAGCTTAGTTACAAGGGTATTTTTGTG